ACCGCGGACACACGAAATCGCCACATCGATAGGCTTGCATTGAAGCGGCATTGCGAACGCGGGCGGGGCAGCGGACGAGTACGGCACGTTATCGTTCTATCGTCCCGCGAGCGAAACGCGCGCGCGGTTCGTGTCAACCGCGTGTACCGGTGCGCACGACAAACGAACCGTATCGCGTACGTAATGCATCGTTTCGAACGAGAGCGATGCGGACCGGGGCACGTGTTTCGGACACCGCCTCAGTGGCGTAGCAATGGTGTGACGAACTGTACTTACGCCAGGGGGGCGAATCGCAAAGGGCCGTAAAATTGGGCTAAAGTCGAATTTTTATCCTACAATTAAATTGAAATTTATCCATTATACTTTTTGAAATACGTAGATGTTGTCTATTTGTATGTGAATTTAAATATAAAATTATGAAAATAGGGAGTTTAAATAAAAAATTTCATATGAAGAAATTGTCGATGAATTCGATAGTCATAAAGCGCGAAAAGCAAATTTTCAAAGTTTAAAATTAACACTGTAATAATAACTTTTAAGTTTAAATTGTATACTAAAAAATGTTAGTAAAACCAAAGGTTAAACAAAATATCATGACATTGAATTTTAATTGGTTAGAAAGGTAACTTTTTCTAGGTTTGCAAGGGGCGCTGGTAAGTCTTCCCACGGCAATGCACCGCGCGCAGAAAAACGGCCGGACGGACACGTTAAACGACGTAACGACATAACGTACACGTCTTCGGGGAAGGAACAGAAAAAAAAACCGGTTAAAAACGAAAAGTACGTTTCTTTTTGGCCGTTAAAAAAATGAAGAAAAGGAAAGAGAGAAGATTTCGGGGGTGTTTGACACACAATCGAACAATTTAAAACGCAATCAACGTTAATGACAAGGCCGCGTGTAACAAGTGCGTTTACACGCCGTCTTGGCGGGGGCGGCGGTGGCGGCCGGGGTGTAGAACACGACATGTGGTGAAACCGTTGCGGGGGGCAGATGCGTCTCTCAACCGTCAACGGACGCGAAATACACCCACCACCGCTGCACAGTCGTATGCGTGCGTGTGAGTGCGCAATACGTACATAATAATAATGCGCGACTACTGTAGAAAAAAAAAAAAAACGACACACTATTTTCATTATCTTCGCCCATTGTTCTTAAGGAAGCACGCTTCTTGTTGTATATGTTGGTACGTGGTGTGGGCACGCGGAACGGTCGTCGGAAGAGAAAAATGTCCGTTAAAAATAATTACGCCGTTCAACGGTTATTTTATTTATTCGTTATTACTGTTTCTTTTTTTATTATCATTATTCAATTACTTGCGCGTCGAGTGCTCTTTATATATTATTTCTCCGTTGTCGTCGATCCTGCGATTCCCACACGATACCAGTCATAATGATAACGATAATTTTTTTTGAACTTATAACATTTACTCTGATCGGTGCGTCCGACAAGCCCGGGCCAAAGTAAAACAGTTACTTGGGGGCTCGTTAAGTTTTTTATTTCAATTTTATAATTTTAGGCGGCAGGAGAGATATGTATATCGTGTGTACGGTCCGAAAGTCGAGTTGAGTTGAGTACCAATGCAATAGTACGGGTATGTAAGCGCGAAATCGAATTAGAAAATGTAATAACTGCCTTCGACGATAATATTTTAAACGGTGACGATGTCTAACCATGATGTTATGACGCATATTAGACATGATTCCAAATAACACTCGAGTTTGAAGGACTCAAATCGGTTTTCAAAATATTGAATAATTTTATAATAATTGTAATATTTCTTATACCAATATAATAAACAAATATGAATTCATGAGTGAATTACTAAAACGTATAGGTCAAATTGATTTCGATAAGAAAATAAAACGTTTTTTTTTTACATTTTTTTTACATAATCAATGAGTTAAGTTTTTATTTTTTTTTTTCGAACCGGCGCTACTAATTTTATAAACTCAACGCTCTCAAAACCTAGTCTATTCGGATCTATAATATGGAGTTGAATTTTTGCTGACCAATACATTAAACGGTGGAGGGGACAAGATTTCAACGAAGAGGACACGTGCCTGTTACTGGTGTTATGTTATACTTCACTACTGGCCGCACGGCAATGTTTTTATACATAGTTTATACGCGTGGTGAATTCAACTAGCCGACGTTTCGGTGTCGTCGTAATACGATACGTACATAGACACCGTGGTGTGATCAAGCGGGTATAGTAATAAGGCGTTTAAGGTGATATTTCCAAAGAGATGGCTGATTATAGGGTACCTAAACTTTCGTTTTGGAAATAAAAACGACAAGACATCTTTTTGCCGTCGCACGCATCGGAGTGTGTCGAACGAATGCAGTAAAAACGGGGGCCGAGTAAAGGCAAATATAGCAAAGTACATATTACACTGCACGCACACATTTCTCGTATTTTTGTGTACATAATTTGTATGTTATATGCTATTATTACAAGTGCTTGCTAAGCAGTTGAGAAAAGCCTCATCGTCGGTGACAAGATAAAACAATACTACCTAGTACACGCGGCGATCCGGATTTAATAACTGGTCCATGCTAATACTCTAGTGTGTCCGGTCGTGATGATGAATATTTAAACGTACAATTTTTTTCCGCTAGGTATATCTTTCCATCTCTCTCTCTCTCTTACTCGTTCGATCTCTTTCTTTTCGTTGTTTAATCAATCCGGATGGCTCTCAATGAGTGCCGGCGAATCGCCGAGCACGATCTCATGAATAATTCACTTGCTATGGTCCTCTGCGTACACTGTACCCCCGCACCCTTCGTTAAACTTTAGCCTTCCTATGCTAATTTCGTAACTGGAATTACTACTGTGCAACGCAATACATCGGCGTGGTGCTGTACACACTTACACACTGCCTATACTTACTTATAAAAACGCTATTTTATATATATATAAGTGTTCGTTAATACATATATGTGTGTGTGTATACAATTAATGTATCTGTCTCGTGTATCATAACCAATAAGCTACCGGTGCGCGATCCCGACCTAGGTCATTGTAAGCAAATTCCTCGCCGCGTGTACCTATGTAGTAACTGCTCGCGCACAAGCATCGATCGTAATGAGGAAGGAACGAGATATGTATTATAATACCGACGCAGCGGTCACATGACTGGATAAAATAACAATTTATCGATCGGTTGCGGACGAATCAATCCGTTAATGATAAGCACTTCGTATTTTCATCACCTTACATTTTAATATATAAATTGCGGTCGAACGTGCAGAATCATAGAAAATATAAATAAAAAAAATGCAAAAATAACCAATATTTAGAATTTAAAAATAACTTTCTACCGGAACAGCTCATACAGCCGTTATCGGATGGATACATTTTTATTCGTCATGTAGTGAACGCAGTAATGTAACAGAATAAATCATCTAGTGTGTAAATACGATAAACTTTTAAAAATTTTACGAGGTCGCTATCATGACGACGAGCGTTCATTAATACTCGTTTCGTCGTATTGTATTCCTTTTCAATTTTAATGCCACTGCGTTTCACTTTACGAGGCGCGTTTAATCCTCCCGCACGAGCGCATGACGATAATATAATTCACATGCCCAGAAAACCCGTTGACGCCTGTAATTTGAACGCTGTAGCACTCTTCGGTTACACATACCTAATAACACGATCTTATTGTAACACATCGTAATCCACGTGTAGAGTGAGTAATGCGTTCGTAGAATTAAATTTCTTTTTAAAATATATGAAAATTATTGAAATTGTCTTATTATTCGATAGCGAGTTAAAAGACGGATTTTAACATCGAACTTGATTTCTATTTTTCGTCAATGTCGCTAATATAATACGCGTACCGTTAACGGTCGTTTAGGATTCATAAATGATTATTTATATGTACGCGCAATAATCGGTATCTCTGGGCGATCTACATAATACGAGATAAGGAAAGACGCACCTGTTCGATTGAAACCCATATGTTACCCGGCGAATTAATCAGGTTTCAGGAATAATAGTGTCCTGCACACGCGCACGCGCACACGACGAACACGCACGCGCACTGGCACCGGCTTACACGGTATTTCCATTATGCGATTTTATATGCTGCAATAATATTCCGCAGCGTTGTGTGCGCATATTATATTATATTGTTAATAAAGTAAAGAAATATAAAAAGAAAAAAAAATATGCCCGCGAGTTTGTACGTATATTATGTACACACATACGTACGTGCGCGGCGCACGCGCACACATGACGACGACGACGACAATTTATCGGTTGCCCGGACGTAGGTCTGTACACGATATATTGTACTATGTTTTTCGCGCGCGCCGTGTTCCGCTTGCGCGTGTATACGTTTAAATGTATAGCGCGCGTGCCTCCTTTTCGCTTGGCCGTGGTGTACAGTCGTGATCGACCGATCCGGTCACCCGGAAATTTCAATTGGATCGTATTATTGTAAATCTAGCCGCCGCGAAGATTTGTAGTGCCGGCGCGCATCACGTATAATTCAATATTCGTACAGTGGCGTATTTTCGGTATGAGGGGATCCGAGTCTCAACCCCTGCCCTTCAGAAGACGAAAAAAGTTGAATAATCATAGATTACTCGGTACGAATGAACAGGAACGATGGTTTATATCACGCCGTTGTCCATAATTCTTGATTTGTATTCATAAAAATTATTATTGGTTCGTACCTTTTTACAACATTACATGATCATTTATTTCCTCTCTTCCCCGTAAAAAAATTGAAAATAACCCGGTGCATACACGTGTATTATAAATCCGGGTAGAAGGGCAGTGACCACGTGTTGTATACGTATTGTAAATGACAAAACGTCGCCGGCAAACTATTAGTCGTTTACATCGACTTCAGACGAGCTGTCGGACGCGTAATCGTACCGCGTTCGACGAACGTACCGACGGAATAGATATTATTACATTACATTGTTCGCATGTGTGCCGTACTACACGACAACTGTGTTGTATGATATTGTTTTCGTGTGCACTTACCTTCTTGCGAAAACCCGTTGACGCTGCTGCTGCTGCTGATGTTACCCGATCCTGCTGAAAGAAAAACAAAATTCCACAAGAAGTCGTCGTGTCCGTTTGTACAAACAATGGCTCGCGCGTGTCGACACACGGATCGTAAATCGCAGATTTACCGCGGAATATCGTTTTAAAACATTACATTTTCGTGTTCCCGGTCATTATTATTGCTATTATCGTTATAATTTTATCTCGCTTTTACACCTACCGCAGTACAACGGGGGACCCCGTATGGTCGTTGATATTATTCAACACCCGCAACTGCGCGCAGTAATTACACTTGAACGCACGCAAAAAGCTGCGATCACGGATCCGCGGTGTCGTCGACGGGTGAGTGCCAAATAATATATCTTAGGTGCATATACAATGCCAAACAAAAGTAATAGGTAATTATATATATATATATATATATATATATATATAATAAACAGCAGACAGATCAAAAGTCAAAACATTTTTTTTTTTAATCTTTGTGAGTTTTGGTCCGTCTTACTTTTGTTTTTACCATCGTCGTGGTGCATTTGTTGCTGCGACTGATGCATAAGGTTTTGCGCGTGCATCTGATGTTGCGGCATGTTGTGAGGGTGTAACGAGCCTCCATGATGCCCCAAGCCGAGTTCCATTCCAATCATAATTCCTTCTTCGGTGTCATTCACCTCGCCTGAAAAACAAACATTAAACCTCAGTTAACATGCGCGTCAATCGACAAAAATACCGTGTAATCGAATGATATGCATACAGGGGTAATGGTGCTGATAATGTATACCGCGGATAGAAATGAAGCATGGTTGTGGTAAGGTTAGGTTCTTTTGTTTTTCCATTATCTTTATTCACACTATTCTACAATATCGCACTACGCGCGTAGTGTTTTAGTTGCACGTATTGGCCGTAATCCGTTTGTACTATTAAGAAATCGGTAGCTCCGTAAGTACGTTTCGCACACGTAATATATCATTAGAAATTTAAACTTCCGCTCGCGAAAAGTGGAGTTTTTCAAAATATTTCAAACGGAAATGTTATCGGAAAGCGTATAATCATAGACGAATTAAAAAAATAAATATTTTTATATCGAGTATTTTTTTTTCCACCCCGACGGTTCTCGCATTTTGTTCTACCAATTAAATTTCACCGTACATTACACAATTACAACAGTTTTAAGAAAGCACCGATTTCGGCCCGAGTTAAATCGTACGGTTTTTTTTTCTTTTTATTTTTTTTTTTTTAGCTTTGTCACCACGTCACTGAAAATTATATGCTGCATTGGTCAATATACGTATTATACGCGTTATAATTTTTAGCTATCCGGGTGGCCCCCGCGTCCGCTCACAGTTCCACGCACTTTAATTTATTCTTCGCGGATCGACCATAGCCGACCCATCCGTATGGTACCTACTCGAAATATATTATTATTTTATTATTTTAATTGTTATTTTAGATCTGTTGTTCTTACGTGTGATTCTCAATTTTTGTTATGACCACAACGCGAGTAGTCAACATTAGGGTTTTTGCAGTCGACATATTCACTTCGCCTTCACCCCTGCCCCATTCTCCGCGAACGACACGATTTTTACGATTATTATTTTCTCTAGGTCGACGGCGTTAGATTGTATATACAATATTACGGAGCTGTACGCCAGCAAATACACGAACCTATATAATACGCTGTAGCCTTTTAACCGGGCTATAGTATAAGAAATGTGTGTGTATATATATTATTGTAACGACCGCGTTTATGTAAATGTACCGAGTCGTGCGGATAAGTGCACGGCAAAAGAAACGAAAAAAGTGTGAAAATTGAAGCTCGTGATGACGCTAGCGGTCAACCACTGTGGGGTGTCATCTCTTTACAGCGTGCGCGTGTACGTATAAATCTCGATCACGCGGGTCTGGTCAGAATCGTGGCTTGATATTCTTCCAATGTACCGGGTGATCTCGCGTTGTGTGTGTGTTTGATAACACGAAACAACACGAAGGAATGAGAACAAAAATAAAAATAAATAAATAAAATGAAGAGGAAAAAAAATGAAGAAATGAGGAAAAAATAAAATAATAAAAGGAAAAATTCCCTTGAAGCCACGCGGATTGGAACCGTTATGTTCACGTGTGTCATTGCACGAACCTAGACTCCGGTGACAATCAGTTCGTGGGTATCTCTCAATAAAAAGCTTATCCATGTATCTCTATTTGGATGATTGCCGTGGACATTTTGTAAAAATAATGTTAATACTACTTTCGTACATTGGTAAATTTATATATTTATACGTATACACTATACGATATTCGAACTCGAAACGTACATCCCGGACGGCATATAGTCGCAGCACTGCGTTTATAATACTGCTGTTAAAGCTTTAGGCATATTATCTTAAAATGAAGAGAAAAGTATTTAATATGCGCTCATTTTACCTACTAAACTGTTTTAGTAATTTAATGTATATAATCATTTAATTTTACGTTTATTACGTATTTAATGAAAAAAAGACCCAAGACGTGTAATGATGATAGCGAATGACGAATGTTCGTGTCTATAAAATTGTATACCAATCCTTTTTCATATGCATTATTTAAATGAGTATAGTATATATATATACATATATAAATTTAATTAATTAGACAAGACAGCGATTTTGGATCGATTGATATTTTCTTGTTCCATGTGCATTTTGAACTGACATTTTAAACTATTATCGATTAAAATAGCATGATACACATTGCATTATGGTTGCATACGAATGGTCTCCGAAGAAACGAAATTAAAATATCTGTTTTTTTTTTTTAAACGTACCATATCGCTTTGCGTGGATTTATATCACGATAGATGTACATGTTGTAGTGTACAACTGATGTTTAATTCCCGCGATGATAACGTTCTGGTCATTTTCCATCGGCGCGGCGGGAACGAGCACGCGGTTTTCATAGAGTATCATATTATTCGTTTTACAATCTCGCAGCGCATTCGCATTTCGTTCACGTGCAGTGTATAAATCGCGCGTCTTATCTACTACGTTGTACGAGTAAATCACATACAATGAATACGTATATACACATATTGTATTGCTGGTATGTACGAGTGCACGAACGAAAAACAATGTACACGAGGGCGGCGACCAGCGTGTGTCCGGCGTGCGAAAAAGAAGAAAAAATGTAACATGGCAGAAAGAGAAGATCGCGTATAGGAATACCGCTTGGGGTCGTAATCATATTAAACCGTCGACGAGATAACAGATATAAGGAGGACCGTCGATCGGTCAAAGACATGAGCACGCGAGCGCAATCGAAAATAACCCTTTTACCTAGCCGCATGGCATAATATTGTACCTTCGTATGTACACTTGTTGAACAGTTCGATTTGGCCGTGTGATGCGTACCTGGATAACCTGACCTGTCTCAATGCGTGCTTAAACACGTGTCCGTTTATCGTTATAACATGTTTTTTACGACACGTTGCGTTCACTCATAATTCTATACGTGCATACGGCGTGCTCGCGTGTGTGTTATCGACACGATCACGAAGACAATTCACACATACTGCCCCGGACGAATTTCCAAAACAACAGAAGTTTAGAATACGATGTCGAATCGACTTGCACACGTTTCCAAAAGGGTTTTTATCAACCCATGCATGATTATAAATAAAATTAAATAAAATCAAAAAAATTTACCCATTATTTGTGTGACGAAAACCGCGTACACGGGTCCAACAGGCGTGCGCGTATATTGCCGACGATATTCGCAACTATTAGAGGTAAGTCGATAAAATATATTAAAATCTTTGAATCGACGATACGAAAGTATTATCGATTTCAGTTGAACAATTGTATTACGATTTTCAACTCGCGACGATATTATTATAACCGTGCGCAGTACCGGCACACAACCACCTTTACGCGCGGCTCCTCTGTCGAATTTCAAAGACACGAAGCGAGCGAGCGAAAGAAATCTTTCTTTTTTTTTTCATCCTATGACGTGCCGTACACAACACACACACACACACACACACACACACACACATACACACGTACACACGTACACACAACGTATAATATGTATATACCTATACCTATGCCACCAATGCGATACAGTGATATTATTATGACCACTTGTGTTGTAAAACCGCGAGCGCGTTGACATTATACATTCACGTGGACAGAAGAATAGAAATTTAACCTCATTTTTTTTCTACTACTACTACTACCTCTTCTTCTTCTGCTGCTTTTTAACCGCTTTATCAATCATGAAATCGGAATATGATATTCGCGTTTTTCAACGACGAGAGGGCTGGTGGAGAAATTAAGAATAGAACAACGACGAAACGAAATAAATCATTTCTTAAGCGAGCAAACTCGGATGAACCGACTCCGTTGCGGCGCGCGGTAGACGACGTACACTACAAGTGGTATATAAATAAATATATAAGCGCACCGGTGCCTACTACACGGCGTATACCTGTACGTACGTACATGTGAAAAAAATAACAATGTAACGCGTGCACGCGCAACTCGGCCGCAGCGGTCGCACAACGCGCGATTTGCAGGGGACGATAATAAATCGTAGTCTGCCGAGTAAAAACGTCACCGCAGCAAAAGGCTTGCACGTCCGTTTTCGCGTCTTCTTCGTCTCCGTCGATGCCCTCTATTCGTATCGTAACGGTTCGTAAATGTTTAAAAAATATATATTTTATCATCCGTCGTGTACATTTTTAATACGATATACTTATACGATAAATAATACCGGGCCAACTTGTCCGTGCGTTCGTCAACGGTTTTCATTTAAGCAGAATTACATATTCTACAAACCAATCTTTTAAACGTTGTGCATTGTTAACGGAACAAAATTTAGAAAATCACTTTTATTCGAATTGGTCGATGACGGCGGAAATTATGTTTTATTTCTGTTTCGCCGCGTACAACTACATTTCCGAACCACCATAATGATTCTCTTTTTGTTAAATTGTTTTTTTTTCTTGGAGTGTCAAAATAACCGTTTTAATTACTAATAATCGTATTCAGACGCGTAAAACATGTCCACACGATTGCGCGTTAAAATCACATTTCGGCGTGCGCAGCAGCTACACGTCCGATCGGGGACCACAAGTTTGTAGGATATACGATTTTAAATGCGTAGCGGTAAGCACACTTACCTAACCCCCCGTCAGCTGTTGTCTTAGCGCGAGTCCACAGCTCCGTGACAACAATAATAATAATAATGTAAAACTCTTCAAAGTGTGTCATATACAATAATAATAATAATATATACGTTCCGGGCGAACAGAGTACACAAATGCGGCGACGTTGTTGTACACGGAGAGTTTATTTCGTTTTCGGAATCGACGAGCATGAAAACGAGTGAAACTGCAATCACATCGTCCGGTCGTTCATTACAACGTACGGTGGACTTAGCAGTGACCTATGTGTTAGCGGAGTTCTTATCCGAATGCATCCCGAGTTCTGTCGTAGTGGACTTTCGGTCGGGCGTAGGCTTTCGAAAGTCGCCAGTAGTGTGCTAAGACCCGGTCGTTCGGTGCCGTTGCAGTTGTTAACAATTACATACACATTCTTCGTCGTCCACGTCCACCTGTCGTCCAATGCTGTAGTTTACTCGACATATTATTATCATACAACATTAAAACGGATTTGAAATTCAACCGAACATTGTCGTTTT